TGTAGGCATCCACTCCACAGTCTGCTAGCTTCCCAATGAGGATAGGGTGCGAAACTGTGTCGAAGGCCTTCCTAAAGTCCAGGAAGATGACATCAGCCTCGGCTCCTGCATCCAGGCAGTGTGTGACCTGGTCATAGAAGGCTATAAGGTTTGTTAGGCAGGATCTACCTGTGACAAACCTGTGCTGGTTTCCCCTCAGCATCGTTTCCCCTGTTGGGCCTGCACAAATGTGTTCTTCGATTATTTTCTCTAGCATTTTCCCAGGAATAGAGGTAAGACTGACTGGCCTAAAGTTACCCGGCTCATCTCTTCTCCCTTTCTTGAAAATGGGCACCACATTGGCCCTTCTCCAGTCCTCAGGGACCTGGCCCAGAGCACCATGAGTGCTCGAACAGCTGTGCCAGTGGCTCATCTATGACACTGGCCAATTCTTTCAGCAGCCGTGGAGGAGGTCATCTGGGCCCGCTGACTTGTACCTATCCAGCTTCTCCAGGAGCTCCTTAACTATTTCAGAACTAACCGTAGGTGGACTGGTGCTCTGTGGACATCCAGCAATGATCGAGTTGGGGGAATTGGCTTGGAACTATAAACCAGGAATACTAACTTTCAGGGGACTATCCTATGCTGCCTGTAGGGTATTTTGAGTAGGGCCTCAGTTCCTTCTGTTGCAGCTGTTCCACTGTGTATAAAATACTTATTCACTGAGTGCATCTATGCATGTCCCTATGGTACCTTTGTTTCTGCGCCATCATTTAGTACTTCCTTTTGGAAGTACTAAATGATGGTGCAGTAACAGCCTGTACTACTCCATGTGCACTGTGCATGGCTAATTTTTAGCTGCTATGTTGCCATAGCAACATGCTATACCAAGAGAGTGCATTGCTACAGTGATGTAGCTGCAGTGTCATGGTATGTGTTCACTGATGCTACGGCGACATAGCATCATATGTAGATGTGCCCAATGAGACAGAAGATGCCCCCCTATCTTGGTAGACAGGGCACTTACCTGAAAGGTGACACCCCTGAATTCAAATGCCTGGCTTGAATTGTGCAGAAAATGGATTTGTGCAGAAAATGTTCACCTTTCAGCATAACCACGTAGGCTAAGAGCAGACATTCAAAAAGCCCCTAGCAGAAAGTGCTCTAACTACAGCACTTTACTTAAAGTACTATAAGTTAGAATACATTCCAACTAAATAGACATGCACTATTTGGTCAGGGGTGGGAAGCTTGGTGTCTTCCTGCACAAGCCAAAGTCAGCAGGCAGAGGGAACTCCCACATGCCTCCCAAGAGGTGCCAGAGCAGCCTCCCCAGCCCTGCTCCCCACCAGCTGGCAACTGT